GTTGAAGGTAATGGCATAAATGCCAAGAAATGAAAAGTAGGGACGGTTTCCGAAATCAACCCCAAAGGTAGGGACGTTTTGTGCTAATTAGCCTTTAAAATAATTCTAATGAGCTTATATAAAACTAAATTTATGCTAAATTAATAATGTCGGATTAAAGCAGCTCGAGAGTGAGGGAATCAGATTATTAATAAATGGATGCAATGTTTTCATTCTCATGTTCTAAATGAACTCTTAAGCATTGCAATCAGGTCACAATTATCGCACGAAATCACAATTTCCTAAGATACATGTTTTATGTCTCATTTAGAAAGACATGAAGTCACAAAATTTTGTCACATATTTATGAATGGCTATCACCGCATGCAATCTTATAAGTCGCAATCACGTAACATAGTTTGTTACATTCGCATAATGTATTAGAGTTCAATCACACAATATAATGACAATTTTCACATGAAATGACCCACTATTAAATTATGCTTACTTGAAAACTATATATTTCTTCATCTATTATGTAAAATCATGCCATGGAGGTTCGATAATCTATCTATTTTAGAACTTGTGAGAATGCTGGATAAGAAGATAACTGCTCTCTTTTCTTTCTTTCTTTTTTTTCCCTTCAGAAACGGATAAGATGATAGAAAATAAATGTCAATTATCCTATTCTGAATTTGTCACATTATTTGATTTTTTGAATACACATATTTTCAATTTAGGAAACATAATATTGATTTACGACTTGATTTTTTGAAAATTTTCCACAAGTTCGATATTTTTAAAATTTTATTCGCTATGACGATTATGACTTTTTTCTTCTCTTTTTCTAAAGGAGAAAATTAAAGGAAATCATGCCTTTAAGTTCCGTAATTAAAAAAAGGGTACATCTTTCTTGATTCACAAATCAGGTATTTTTATTTTAAAAAGTACTTCAAAAAGATTTTTAGTAATATGTTTTTAGCTTGTCCCCAATTTCGTTAATGGTGGTAATGTATATCTAATTTTAATTTTTGAAGTTCAGGTTACACAAATTGAGATTCTTACCATTTAAATTTTATTTGGATGGAGAAACTTTCATAGTTGTTATGAGAGGTCATAAAGGGCACACACATAAATTACAGAGGTCGCAATTGTTGTATTTCATTTTTACGTGACACACGTTATCAAGCTTTAATCTTGCATCTTAACATTAATACATATGTCACAATTTCGAATACATTATGAATTTCAAATGCCTTCGAACTGCGACACGCGGAATGATGATTGTGACATATTGTGGTGAAGATAATAACTCCAGACATATTTTTTGGGAAGGATTCAATTCACAATCTTATCTTACATTAATCAATTATTATCTATTTTCCTCTAAAAAAATATTGAAATATGAAAAGTTTCTCAGATTTGAAATGTCTAAAAGTATTACTCCTTTCTAAATTTCGAGCATTGGGATGGACATTTTTGCTCATGGGGACATTGAAGTTTTCTTTGAAGGGGTGGCCCAAAGTTCAGTTTAGGCATCCGTCGGGGGCTTTTGCGCCCCAACTTTTACTTGTAAAGACGTTTTCTATAGACATGTAAATTAATTTCCCTTTGCCTTGTCTAATTATAATTTGGAGGTAAAAGCATATATCTCCCACCTCACTTTACTGAACTTTTGTGGGATATTCAACCCTACTACTGAATTTAGTTGGGACTTAATATTACTGCCTAAACTTCAGAGGCGTTTTAGAAAAAAAAAAAAAAAAA